TAATATATAAGTTTTTATTAAAAAAATTAAACTTTTTAATAAAAACACAGGCAAATTTGCCTGTGTTACAATTTAAGAGATAGTTTTTATTATAAAATAATACTCATATATTAATAGGTGTGACATATTCCCTAACTGATAAACTTTTAATTATTGATTTTATTGCATTTTGATTAGCCCAAAAGGCCAGAAATATATAAGCAATATTTCTCTGGCCAAAGATATATAAAAAAGTTCAAAAAAAAATTTACCAAATTTGCTTTTTCTGATATTTTAAGGTTTTTTAAAATTTTTTAGTAATACTATTTTTATTTTAATTATATCAGGCATGAGACTACAAGGGTTTAAAATATTATTATATATAAATCAAATGAGTTGACTTATCCAATTTATATATAAAATTTGACAAAAAAAGTACTTTTCTTTAATTTACTTAATTGGTGATTCACCAATCAACCAGAGAGTGATTATAGTAAAATATAATATAAAAATTGAAGGTTTTTAGATATGGCGTATGCACATATAAAACTTTTTTTATATTAAGTTAATCACCTTTATAACTTAAAAAAATTTTGTAGAGCTTGTCAAGACATATCTAATAGTGGTTAAAGCATCAAAATCAGCTTGGTGAGTGATAAGATATTTTTAAAAAACATTTCTTTTACTATATAAACTTCTTTGTAAGCAATATTATTGTTTGCAAAAAAGTTTATATAGTAAAAGAAATGTTTTTTAAAGATATCTCATCACTTACCAAGCCAATTTTGATGCTTTAACTACTATTAGATGTGTCTTGACAAGCTCTACAAAAGTTTCTTAAGTTAGAAATATGATTAACTTAGTATTAAAAAAGTTTATATATGTACATGCCACATTTGAAGACCTCCAATTTTTATAAATAATTTGAGTCATGATTACTCTCTGGTTGTCTGGTAGATCACCAATTAATAAAGTAAATATAAAAATAATTTTAAATATAGAACTTATATTCTAAAACTATATATCAAATAGTTTTAAAAAGATCTTGAGCTAAAGTTATTCAATTTTCTCTATATTCTTTAAGTCTAATAATTAAATTACTTAAAACAATAATGTAATTGGCTAAAGCAATTTTTTGAAAATTAAAGAAAATAAAAATCTTTTTCAGCTCTAAGAAAGTAGTTAAATTATCTAAATCAGCTTGGTGAATCCCAAGATACTTGGGTTAAAGGTGTGACTATAAATATCTGCAAAGTTACTGTTATACAAAAAATAATTGTTTAATAGATAATTGTTTTTTGTATAACAGTAACTTTGCAAATTTTTATGTTTGTATCTTTAACCCAAGTATCTTTGGGATCCACCAAGCTGATTTGGATGATTTAACTACTTTCTTAGAGCTGGAAGAGACTTTTACTTTCTTTAATTTTCAAAAGACTGCTTTAGCTAATTACATTATTGTTTTAAGTAAGTCAGTTATTTGACTTAAAGAATGTAGAGAAAAATTGAACAAGTTTAGCTCAAGATCCTTTTAAAACTACTATAGTTTTAGAATATAAGTCCCATATTTAAAATTATATTTTATATTTATTTTCTTGAGTAAATTAAAGAAAAGTATTTTTTGCCAAATGTTATATATAAATTTGGGTGAGTCAACTCATTTGATTTATATTAAACAGCAACCAAGGGAACATGTCTCATTGGGGATGTAACTCAACTAAGTAAATCAAAACTATATATGGTATCATATAAAAATTTATTATAAAATTTTTTTTGTGCAACATCAATGTAGATCCTTATCGATATTAATTTAATTTAGCGAATATTGTATTTTAAATATAATACATTAATTAAAACAATTACATTAATAGTTTATTAAAAATATTTGAAGCAATGTCAGACCCGAATTGTAATTGTATTTCTTGAAGCGGCATTTTCTTCTTATTAATATTTCTCTTCGCCCTTATTTCATTTAATTCATTCGAATAATTTTCTTTAGGGATTTTGCTTGAAGATAAACGAAGCTTAGATTGCTTTGTTGACATTGACATATTAGGATGTGTTTTTAGGTCTAGTTTTTTTAAAAGACCTTCAATTTGCTGTTGGTGAATTATTATGTAGTAGATTCGGGTCTTGATAAAATTGTATAAATTAGGAAAATGGTATATCTGTGAGTTATCATTAATGCAGAATTGTTCATATTCTTTAAGGAAATTATGATCATTTAGTAACAATTCTTGCAATCCGAAACTCTATTTTTTAGATCATCATCAAGCTCACTTGCATATCGTAATTCCAAATCTGTTGGTGGTTTAATCCAAGGTTTTTTTAAAACTATATGATAAAAGCTAGATGCGAAAGATCTAGCATTGCTACCACCAAGACGGCAAATAGAAAGTGGTAAATGGAGCCATGGTAAAAACCATTTTTCAAAATGTTCCAATGCCTTAAGAATTCCTTTCTCTAAATTATTAAAAAATGTTTCAAATTCTTCATTAGATAATATATCAACGGCTTCTAAAAGTTCATCGGCAAAAAACATTTCAAAATTCTCAGCAAGATTTTGAAGAAATTTATGCCATTCGTAAACTTTATCTGGCATTTGGTGTGCTTGTCTGCCTGGAGGTAAAGTTGTTAATTGCCCATTTTGATAAATTCATGCAACATTATCTTGACCAATTATAAACTGCATTAATGGCTTATAGAAATGTTCAGCAAAGTTCACTAAGCATTTAATTTGAATAAAAAGTTTTGTATCAAGAAGCCATGATTGAAAAAGAGTCCAATCATTAAGATACGATTTTGGTGTATTTTTATACTTTTTCATTTCATTAATAAACCATCGTGCAAATTCAATGTGTGCTAAGCGACGATTTAAAAATTGTTTGGCTGTTTGTAACTCATAACCCCAACGTGACCGAAGTGGTAGTTGATATTGTTTATAATGATATCCAAGCAAACCATCATACAAATCATTAATTATTTGTGAATTTATATTGAGTGGTTTGTCTTTGTCACTTGCATTATAACCATCGTGCAATTTCCAAGCTAAATAAAGTAAATTATAAGGGTGTGGTTGCCGTGAAAATTCTGTACTATTTGAGAGTGTGCCGAATGCTTCTTGTTCAAAATGATTCATTACAATATGTATTATATGAAGCCCACAACCAACGCGTAATGAACTTGAATTTGTTTTTTTATTATAAAGAACTACTGCTCTTTTTTTATCTCCTGACATATACGATGTATTGTCAGTCGTCCATAAAGCACACTTGTTAAATTCCAATCTACTCATTTTAATATTTTCTATTACAGAATCTGATACCGTTTTAGCATTACATCTTAAAATATTCTTTAGTTCAGAAAGTATTGCAACAGGTGCTTGTTCACTTTCATTCCAGAACTGATAACAAATAATAAAATTTTTTATTTGTCCACGTGTAGATTCATCTACCATAACTCCAAACATGGGAACATTTGCGGCTTGATGAATTTGTTTGTTAATAAATAGTTCGGAAACATCCTGATGCCATGTTCATAGACACTGTCTTGTAAGCCAATCTTGAGGCGGTTCCCCAACCAAAAACTCATAGACTAACTTCATACATTCAACTGTAGATTGTAAGGACATCTGACCCATTTGTAAAAAACTAGTAGCGAGCCATATTGTGTTTGATGAATATTCATGTTTATTTATTTTAAATAATGATTTTATTTTTTGTTGAAATTCTATATCCCTAAGTTGTTTTGAATGTCGAACTAGAGAGCGGATTTCAGAAATATGCTTTGATTTCTGACCTTTCAGATGTTGTGTTTGTGCTCCTAGAGATTGGGTTCGTTTGACAAGTGTTTGATTTTTTTGAATAAGTTTTTTATTGTTTTTTTCTAGTTGTGAATTTGAGTTTTGTAACGAATGATAATCAGATTTATGTTTGTAATAACTTTGAGTAAAATAGTTATACATTTTATGTTGCAAGTATGAAGAAATTATATTTCCTTCGTTTGGACCTTTTGGATATCTCATTAGAGAGATAAGATTATTGGTGGGTGGTATGTCTTTATCAGATAATTTCTTAATTGTTGAAATTAACTGATTTTTTTGTGAACTTTCACTAGTTGATGCTATTTCACTAGTTGATGCTACTTCATTGTTTGATGCTACTTCGTTGGTTGATGCTACTTCATTGGCTGGTATTACTTCGGTAGTTGACGTTACTTTGTTGGTTGATGTTACTTCATTGGTTGATGTTACTTCATTGGTTAATGTTACTTCGTTGGTTGATAGTTGCCTTTTCTGTTTTTTTTTTAGGCGGGCACTTTTTAATTGAGATCGACGCTTATATGATTTGTAAATCCCCATTTTTCTTTTTTTTTTGATGCAATAATTATAACGACACTTATTTAGATGCAGGGCCTTTACCACTAAAAATTAGAAGTCCAAATTTGGAATGGATCGATTAAAGGTCTCTACAATGCGAGTTACAGAGCCAAATTTTATATTTATTTAAAAAAAAAATTTTTACCGGCAGTATAAATCTCATCCAGATTATTCAAACGACAAATACAGGTTAAGTAAATTTAGAAAAAAATTCGTTTTCCATATATAATATGAAAAATTATTCTGTAACTTTGTTAACGGATTGAGAAAGAGTCATTTGGCATTGAAACTTTCTGCTAAAATAGAAAATTGCAACCTGTGCATGGTGCGCCAATTTTATATATTTATATGTAAATACGTCACTGATTAATAATTTTGATCAAAAAAAATTCGATAAGCTTAAATTATAAGTGACTACATATAGTTTTGATTTACTTAGTTGAATTACATCCCCAATGTCTCATGCCTGATATGATACTATAAAAAAAATTTACCAAAATTGTTACCAAGAAATCATTACTAGAAGTTTCAAAAAATTTAATATGGAACATCATCATGTGATCACCAACCGAGCACAGGTTATAATTTTGCAATTTAGCAAAGTTTTTTACCTGCACCCATGCGTTATTAAAGTGGTATAAATAATATCATAAAAGCCTATATCGATATTTTAAAGGCTGTTTAAATTATATATCATCTCAAAGTTAAAAAAATATTTAGCTTTTATTTAATGCTTTACTATGATCAGTTTATAAAATAAATCAATTATTTTATGGTATTTTTAAATGATAAAATAATTGAACTATTTCATAAATCTGAGATAGTAAATCATAAAATAAAACCGTTATTGCATACTTCATATGCAATAACTATATAGTATTCATCCAATAGCATTATCAAATTAATCTTTATTTTTTTAAATGCTTGATATTCTATAAATACCTATTTATATTTAAAATAAATACAAGCTTTCTGCCCGTGCCTTGAGGACGGAATCTTTTTTTAAAAAACGCTATTAAATTGAAAGATCATAAATACTATTATTTATAACAAGAATAAAAATTTGAATTAAATATGTCGATTAATATATAACCATTATTCTCAGATTAAATCAAAAGTTTATAGTAGTGAATGCTTATTCGAAATTTCAATCGATAAAGATCATTATCCTAAATAATTATCCTATATTAATATGAATGAGAAACTACTGCGTTTTTATAAACTTATAGTAAAAAAATGGGGTTGAGTCAATAGAAATCAAGCAAATTTTTTTTAATAAGTTTTTTTAAAACTTTAAACAAGAATAACTTAACAAAAACTTAATCAAATTTAATAAAATTTTTTTTAAAATTAATTCTACAAGTTTGTAAAAATTAATTAAAAAAATTTTTATTAAATCAAGTTTTTGTTAAGTTATTCTTATTTAAAGTTATGAATAATTTTTATTATAAAAAATTTGCTTGATTTCTATTGACTCACCCCCAAATTTTGATCGAATTTGATCAGGTGAATACTTCGTTCAAAGAAACTGCGGCTAATTTTTTTTAAAACTTTTAGTAAAATTACTTAACAGCCACCAGGGTCACGGAAATTATGTGATTAAACTAGATCGCGTAATTTTACATCATTTACATTATAAATGTATTCCTTATCAACTTTATTCAGCCTGTATATTTAACTATTATAAAAGCCGATTAATAGTATGTTAAAATGCGAAATAAATTAATTTCTTGTAGTATGTTAAAATACGAGTAAACTAAATAGAGTTTTTGGTAGTACGTGAAAACCTAAAATAAATACACGTTTTTAAGAAAAAAAATTATTATTTTTTGTATTGATCCAAAAAGAATTACATTGAGCAGCAATGCGTTTGAACTTAAAGATGAGCTTATGTGTAAATTTTTTTGACAATTTTTTTTTTATTTCAATATAAACCACTGATGTACTGTACTAAGCAAGTGTATTTTAACGATGAATAAATTAGCTTTTATTCAGTTGAGCGCAATATTTAAAAATCGCGTTTTTTTAAATGATAAAATTGTTTTTTTATACACTTTTTAATCATGAATATTTTATATATACCGCACGCATAATTTACAATTTTTATCGTATAAATTCCGTGTCCCTGATCACCGCTCACCTATACAATCACCTAATTGTCGTCCGATTTATAAATAAAAAATTCAATATAAAAAATATTATTTTCATGTTTGTTAGATGTAGCTAACTCTCAAAATTGCTGTATATAATCGCGCAATCGAAAATTCATGTGATAGTATAGGTGAACTGCAATCCAAGATTTGATCAAAGATACATCATTTTGCGAATCGCAATAAAAACTCTGGGTAAGTCAAATTCCATTAATGAAAATTTTGTAATTAGAATTTCTAAAAAAATTTTGAAGTTGGTACCTAAACTATAAGAGCTCTGCAAATCCTTGATCGTGCTAAACGTTCTATTTGTCGTTTCATCATCGCTCCTCTTCTTTTTTACCATCCATTAGATGAACTACTTCATTTCAGCAATCGTTTCATCATCGTTTCATCATAATTTCGTCTTATTCGTAAAACATATTATCTTTATCGTATACTTCTACCTGGCTTTTACATCACTTCCTACTTTAATAATAATGACAGATTTAAGGTATTTCAAAAGCACTAACATAATAATTAATTTTTGAAAATAACTAAATTTCTTATACTTATCTTCCTACTATCACAGCTTACACCGTTCTTAAATCACAACCAACCTTCATCTCAAATACCAAATGGTTTTGGTTAAGTCTCTAAATGGGCCATCACGGGTAAAACAATAATTATATTTTTTTTCGTCCTGATTGCGTCATCATTATAACTGTTCTAACTTCATCAATCCTTAGTATCAATATTAACTCTTTCGTTGGGACGACTTTGATATGGCATGATTTCTTAAATTTAAATTTAATCACTTTTCAAGTGTATCCAAATGCTCAAAAAATTTGCCAAGTATCTAATTTTTTTAAAATTGATTAGTGATAGTTACTAACTAAAGATGTTCAAGCAACATCCAACGTTAGGAAATTACCGTAAATGTACAGACGTCAATTTAAATACAAAATATGTATGTACTCTAAATTTTTTTTCATACATAACATAACCCTCGGCCGTGCGCCATACTGGAAGTCTATTGAAGTTCAAAATTGGTAGAATGTATTTAGAGCCGAGTTTAGATACGCTATTTACGGTATTGAAAGCTGTGTTATGAAAATTACAATATAATTTAGAAGCATACTAGTACCTTTTATCACTCATCAGTACCGTACAAGCCACGAAACGGTTTGTACACCTTTTACCAATTCATTGCTTCCTTGCTTGATTTTACTTAACTGTCTAATCATTTAAATTTTACATTTTCTAAAATCAGTTCTTGTTTTACTTTCTAACGAACAAATATGCTTTACAGTTTTCGACACCAACCCCAAAAATCATTCCATCTTTTTCCAAAGTCCTCAAAGAGCTATTCCACATCTTCGTTTACTCCGAGTTTCTGTGGATGAATTGTCATTTTTAATTTTACTACACGCTTGCTATTGTCTTGTTTGCCTTTTTTCTCTTACTACAACATTAATAATAGTACAAATAACAGAGAATCTATCGAACCACGAAGTTCAACGAACAACTCATCGAAGGATTGTAAAAAGTAAGAATTTTGTCTTGCCCAGTCTTATCTGTCGCATATTCGTACATAGGAGCTTTATTTAGCACCAGGTCTTTCTCCTGTAAATAGTTCATTTTCATTTTCACTTGCTCGTTTTCATTACATAGACTAGCTTGTTCTACATAACGTGCATAGTTATTTAGTAAAAATGTTTTTTAAAATTAAATCATTTAAAGTGCTACAAATACCACGGGGTGTAAGTACGTATCAAACGACAGTTAAAAGAAAAAGAAAAAAAAGTGTTATAAATACCACGACAGTTAAAAAAAAAAAAAAGTGTTATAAATATCACGACAGTTAAAAAATAAATGTTATAAATATCACGACAGTTAAAAAAAAAAAAATAAAAAAAAAAAAAAAGTGTTACAAATACCACGACAGTTATAAAGAAAAAAAAAAGAAAATCGCTCTGATGCTTCAAGCCCGGGAAATTAAGTGAGGGCACACACCCACAGCCGGATTCGAACATAGGATTATCCACAATGCAGCCCCATTGTGGGTCCCGTCGGCACCGTTAATCCACACCAGAACAAATTACACAAGTTTCCAAATTTATAATTATTTGAGTTACACTTTCTCACGTGATCATTATCTACCCTGCATGATTGTGTTAGGGGTCTATAATTTGCTTAAAATTTCTAGTGAAGGTTTCTCAATAACTGCACGATCAAATTTAGTAATTTTATTTAATTTTAATTCTATAGTTTCGTAAAATCAAAATTATAAAAAGCTCATTAAAATTGGTTTAATAGTTATTGAGAAACCTTCGCTAGAAGTTTTTAAAAAATACTTGAAATATCAAGAAAAGCCAAAGTCGGGTAAATTTTTTCATTTTTAAACTTTAAAAATAATAATTTCTCACTATATATTCAAATTCCAAATTTAATGAAATTTTTTTTATAGATTTTCAGGATTATCATAAATAAAAACAAAATTAATCAAATTTGGATAGATCGTTATTGAGAAATCATTGTTTAAAGTTTCTAAAAATTTTCAAGAAAAAAGAATATTGCAATGAATTTTTTTGCTTAAACTTTAAACGATGATTTCAATGAATTTTTTTATTTTAATTATGTGGTTTGTAGAATAATTTTTTATTGAACATGGATTGGTAGTTGTTGAGAAAAATTGGTTAAAAATTAAAATAAATTTAAATGTACATCAAAAAGAAAAGCTGCAGCAAGAATTGTTCAAACGGTGAATTTTTTTATTTATTTAAATTCTACGGATTTATGGAACTCAAATAAAAAAAAAAATTCATCGGGTTTGCTTAGATGGATATCGAGATACCTTTGATCAAAGTCTTAAAAAAATTCAAACGTATATCAAAAAGAGAAGCTGCGACAAAAAGGTTCAAACCTTTGATCGAGGGTATCTCGGTAACCACCCAACCAAATCCCACAAATTTTTTTTATTTGAATTACACAGACTTGCAGAATTCAAAAAAAAAAAAAAAAAACATCGGATTTGGTTAGGTGGTTATCGAGTTACCTTCGATCAAAGTCCTAAAAAATTTAAACATATATAAAAAGAGTAAAACTTTGATCGAAGGTATCTCAGTAGTCACCCAACCAAATTCGATGATTTTTTTTTATTTTATTTGAATTCTACAGACTTGTAAAATTCAAATAAAAAAATTTTATTGAATTTGCTGGGTGGTTGTCAAGATACTTTCGATCAACTTTTAAACGTATATCAAAAATATAAATGACGACAAGATTCAAAACTTTGATTGAAGGTATCTTGGTAGGGAAGTGTCATCAGCTGATTTTTTGTAAATAGTAAAATTTCCCCCCTCCCTCAAATGATTGTGATTATATATAAACACATATACATGCGATCTATTGACATACTTTGGTACCCTCTCACCTGCTAAAAAAATCAGATGCTAAATGGCGCTTCCCTAGCCACCAAACTAAATCTTATGTTTTTTTTTTGAATTTGTCACTTGATCACCCATCATGGCACAAACAACTACGAAATAACTATACGGGATATCGCCTCGCTGCTCACGTGGTCTGCAGCTCATTCCTAGGATTGAATATACGTCTCATATTATTTTACCTGCTCTCGGTTATGCTTTTGACATCCAACCTGTATGGTCGGGCTACCAAACCTACCCTGATATCCAAGTTGTTCACCCGAGCTATCAAACTTACCAATACCAACTACATATGCTCCTTCCAATCTCTTCCCGGTAGTGGATGGGTCTTTACGACAAAGCTAGACTTACGTCGAGCTAGCAGCAAAGACGAAAGAGAAGGACAAAATTCCATTTTCTCCAATTATATAGCAATTTTCAATGACCTCATACTTACCATACTCATCAATCAAACATTATTCCTCACAATTCGTCGTTCCATTTATCAAATAATGCATCACTACTGATCGCTGATCTATCGTCATAGGTCTGGGACGTGTTCTTGTGACAAATGGATGCTCGTGACTTCGTTCACGGCATCTCATTCTACAAGTCTGGATAATTCAGAAAAAAAAAAAAATTCATCGGATTTGTTAAGATACTATCGATCAAAGTCTTGAAAAATTTTAAATATATATCATAGAAGCTGTAACAAGAAGTTTAATAACCACTCAACCAAATTTAGTGAATTTTTTTTTTTCATTGGAATTCTATGAATTTGTAGAATTTAAATAAAAAAAGTTTCATCGAATTTGGTTGGATACTTGTCAAGATATCTTCGTTTAAAGTTTTAAGAACTCTCAAAATTTAATATTGTTAAATTAAAAAATTTTTTAATAAATAAGTATTTAAGTATTAAAATTTTTATTATAATTCTCAACTTTCACCTGATCAAATTTAATAAAAATATTTTAAGTTTAAAATTATAAAATACTTTTTATATAATCAAAAGTTTTAAAACAATACTTATTATACTGTAGCTCTTATTTAATATATAAAAGAGTGCAGAATTAAAAAAAACTTTCAAACTTGTCGATGGGTATTAAGAAATTTTAATAATAACATCATGTAACAGGGAATTTTTTATCGAATCACAATTTACTAGACAAAAACTCACATAAGATGATTTCATATTGGAGTAATTAAAAAAACCTAAATCCATATATTAAGTAGAAATTACGCTTTCAGATCACAACGTCATGTGAGATCAGAGATCCTATCCCTTCCCTTACTCCGTTTTGCAAATTTGCCTGCAATTTGCATTTTCTCGACAAATTATTAATCCAAGAGTATATAGTATCATAAGAAGACTAAATCGGTTTGTTTGATAATCTTTGAAAAATGTTATTCTTTTCAACACACGGCCTCTCTATCCTTTTATTTCTTAGTTCACTTTTTTGGGCTCCATTGAAATCACGATCATATACTGTACTACCTCTAAATGCCCGACGTGTATAAATATTAATAATCTTCGGAACTTTCGATGTATGTATTTGTATCGCCGACATAACTACAGAACTGCGCAAGCAATTTTGGGGGCTAAAAACGTGAAGATTATTGGGTATCTATGTACCGGCAATTCGGCTTACAGAGTAAGGGATAGAATTTAAGAATATTACCGATTTCAAATAAATATAAATATAACCGATCGAAAATATAAATTAATAGACAATTTAGATTCTCAGAAATTTTCTAAATTCACTTATCAATCAGTTTGTACAATACTGAATATATATGTTGTGCGTGAAATTTGAGTTGCGTCAGACCGAAATTTGATTTTGAGATGCGTCAGATCAATTTATCTATTATGCGTCAAAAATCGATAGATTTTTTTGAAATGAGAATTTCGTAAGTATGCACATACCGTGCTCTCCGATTTCGTATTCTAAATTGTGCTATCATTGCAGAGGTCATTTTTGTTGTATAGGTCTTTACAATTCTTTGTAATACTTGATGTCCTGTTATTTTTTGTTCGTTAAATTTTGCAAAAGTTTAAAAGTTTTGAAGTATATAAAGTGAAGAAAAATCAATCTAAATAAATATAAAGAATTAAATGCATTTTATATAACGATAAATTTATATTATAACGAAGTTACTAAAATATCTTCCGAAAGTATTACGTTTAATAAATGAATACTCCATAGTATTTTAGTTCGATATAAAATACATGGTATGTAAAGAAATTTTAAACGAACTAATTTTTATTAATTTAATATTATCATGACATTTCAGTATGACGCATAAATGACAAAACCAGTCTGACGCACATCGGAATCAAACTTTAATTCTACGCGACTCAATTTTAAACCTGTCTATTCTAATCTGAGATACAACATATACATAAAACATAACAATAAATTACGACTCTTAATTTGACTGATTGCCTGTAAAAATATAAACATTACAATCACTTATGAGGTTATATGTATAAAAAGCCCGATTGCTATTTTTGCAAAACGTTTCCTTGATCAAAATTTGTAGATCACTGATTGTGTGGTTGTAAAGCGCGTTTCTAAATCAAAAATTCAATATCAAAATATTATTTCCATAATTTTGCCATACTCGCTAAAAGTGCATAATCGAACAGTCACGCGGTTGCATGGGTGAACTGCGATCTAAAGATTTAATCGAAGATACATCATTTTGTAAATAATATAAATAACGCCAAGTCAAGTTCCATTAAATGAAAATTTTGTGATTTTAGGCATATTAAAAATTTTTCAAAGATGATGCCTAAGCTATAAGAGATATGTACATCTTTGATCGTATTAACTGCTCTATTTGTTGTTCCATCATCGTTTCTCTTCTTTTTATCATACATTAGATGAACATTACTTCTTCATTTCAGCAATCGTTCCATCATGTTTCATCATATTCGTAAAACTTATTATCTTAATCGTATACTTCTGTCTGGTTTTTACATTAACCCCTACTTTAACAATAATGAATATTTCAAAAGCACTAACAAAATTTGAAAATAACTAAATTTCTTATATTTATCTCCCTATTATCACGGCTTACACAGTTCTTAAATCACAATCAACCTTAACATTCATATCCTCAAACGCCAAATGGTTTTGGTTAAGCTCTAAATGGGCCATCACAGGTAAAATTACAATTCTTTTTTTTTTTTTCGTCCTGATCGCTTCATCATTATAACTGTTCTAACTTCATCAATCATTTCTCCTCTCCTTAATATCAATATTAACTCTTTCGTTGGACGACTTTGATTTGGTATGATTTCTTAAATTTAAATTTAATCACTTTTCAAGTGTATCCAAATGCTCAATAATTTGCCAATTCCAAGCATTTTTAAATTGATCGGTGATAGATACTAAGTTTTAATTAAGTAAAGATGTTCAAACAATATCCAATGGTAGGGAAATTACCGTAAACGTACATATAAAGGATCTCCTTTGATACTACGAATTAGATCGGGCGCAAGTTACTGGTCTTTATTAATCAAATTACAACATATTTCAAATGGCTAAGCGTCAATTATAAATACAAAGTATGTATATACTTTAATTCATAATACTGTAATATAACCTCTTGGTCGTGCACTATATCGGAAGGTTTCAAAATTGGTAGAATGTAATTAAAGCCGAGTTTATAAACGCGTATTTATGGTGTTGAAAGCTGTCATTAAAATTACAATATAATTTAGAAGCATACTAGTACCGATTATTCCAATGAATAATACACGTAACGAAAGTTTTATACGTCAGAAAGAAAAATTTACCAAGGGTATTTATCATCCCAATCAACTAGAGATAGAGGCCCAGACGTCCTTTTTTTTCATAGAGTTGCGTTTATTGGTCGAAAATTTTCATTGATTAATTAGAAAAATAATTGTTAAAAATTTAAAATTTTAAAATTTTTTGTTAACTACAATAAAAAAAAAAAAAAAAACCACCATATTAAAAATAAATTGCTAAAGAAAATTACGAAGATATATAGTGACCAGTCAACTACCAACAACTATAAAAAAAGAAACAACCCAGACCCTATAGGCTCACTTACAAAGCCAGTCTTGGAAGGTGTTCAACACCAACCTCTAGTCAGAAATCACCCACATAAACGTGTTAAACACAACCACCCACCCAACATTCCGCAGATACAGTAGTAAGCCAAACACAGGAACAACAACCAACTTTAGCAGCTGCACCAATCCAACCATTGCAACACACTATCAACACCACCCCAGCAATGCCTACAATAATGAATGAACAACAACTAACCGACGACAATACTCAAGCTAACCCACCACAACAACAAACCAAGGAAAAGAACGTTACACAGGTAGAAAATCACACACACATGATACAAAATCGGGTACCCAGGAAAACCACAGTATCGACAATTAGTCAATGGATACATCAGATAGCTTCGTCGACATTCAATTACCACCATTACCTCAGAGCAATTCAATTACACACCAACAACTTATAGACCGGCAAAACCCCAAAGCTCCAAGTTATAGTCAAGTAGCAAAAAAAGTAACAACAAGAACATACAATAATCAGCATTCAGTTTTAGTAAAAGAAATCGCCAACTCACTTGAGAAACGTAAAACAGAAACATTTAATCACGAAATTTGGAACAATGACAATATCATAAAAGCATTGTCAGACGAAGCACTCTTCTTAGATTTCATTAAATATAAGCTAAAAATGGCAACCCCGAGTATAAACCTACCAGCAGCAATTGCAAATAAACTGAAGCACCGTGACACAGCTTTCTTCAAATCATTTTCACGGGACAGAAATAACCAACCCAGCCACAATTAGAATTCAATACATTATTGAACATAGCACTCGAGAAATACAAATGCAAATACGATGCACACCTAATTAACAAAAATAACCGAGATCAAATATACGACAAATTAAGGAAAAAGATTGCGATTGATAGCATACTCACGTTGAACTTAAATCTTCATGGAGACTATAACAGCACCCAACACATATACTACCTGATGAATTTTGGTAAATTGAATCACCAATGGCTTTTGAACAAGCGCGCAGATTAATTAGCCAAGCCCAAATGAAAACAAGATCAAATCTCCCTCCAAGCCCAAATGAAATTCCAGTAAATATATTGGACATAATCCCCTTCACACTCCCTCTAGAAGATAACAACAAAACAATGGCAGCAGTTAAAGCCCTCAGACTGATATACACATTCTCAAGTTTACCAGATTTATACTTTATCCTAGCATGAACTCCTCTTCTGGATCATCTAAACCAACTACATCCCAGTATTAGAGCACTATTTCCAATTAAGGAAAGGTGCAGTCTACAATACTTGGCGGAATACCGTCGTAGACTCCAAAAATATCACATTGTTAAGGAAAGAATACCTCTAACATACTTTAACCTACCCCCAGAAAAAATAAACCTACCATCAACACCGCAAGAACTAAATTCAAATATGAGGCACCTGTTTCCATGCAAACCTAAGAATGATAGCGAATTCAGAGACTTAGTCTCAAAGCTTAGACAGTATTACAAGTTCAAAAGACTACCCAGCGACTACATCATAAGTAAGAAACTGTTTCCACCTCAACCTTCTCAAATTAAAACAGTTAGAAGCTATACTTTCCCCATACAGGATAAAACTAGTGCAATACAATTTATTACTGAAATCCAAGATGAATACCGTGTCCCAGTTCCGATACCAGCTAACTATGTAGTAATCAACTATACCAACAAACCTAAACTTCCTGACGACCATACTCAGATCAAAGAAATGAACTTAACAATACCAATATCATCACCCAAACAATTGGTAGATATTGTAAGAGAATTACGTACATACTACTTCTTTCACTAATTACCAGCAAATTGGATCCAAATTGGAAAGAGTTGAGAAACTCAAACATTCCACAATAGCAAACAACAGTTACCACTAAATATCAAAGAGCTACAACACCAATTAGCCACTTTTAACCCAGATCTAAAATACAATTACCAATAACAGATTATAAACAGATAGAATCTACACTATACCATAACAACTCCACTGAACTATATTCACGACTTACCAGACTTTCCACTCCCAGACTGGGATATCGTCAATAACTATATACCATCATAATGAGTGACGTATTAAGTGTAACCGACTCACTGTTGGATGACATATACGATCTCGATTATCCACAAATTCAAACCTTTGTACAACAAACAACTAATGCACAAATAGTGGGACAAAAATAATCTAATGAGAATTATATTAACTCACAATCACCCTTCTCTAAAGTATCTGATATGAATTTAAATATAATAGTCCACAATGTACAAGGTATTAATGTTAATTTAAAATACATCACCTGGCTTCAACACTGTAATGGTACAAACTCGGACATAGTTATCATGACTGAAACCAAATTATCAGCGGCACATATGCACCCAGCTAGCTTATCCAACCCTTGGTACAAAATATACACTGCAAATTGTGATGAATACAACGCTTCTTTGCATCAATCTGTCAAAGGAGTAGCCATAGCATTAAAACCAAACCTCCAACCATACATTCACAATATCAAGACAATACCAGGGCAGGCACTACTGATAGACTTCTTCTTCTCCAATAACAATAAAACAAGACTCATAGGAGTATACATCCCGTTAAAAACAACAAACAAAACAAATGCAGCCCAACAGACAATTATTGGTTAGATTCAACAAGCAAGATCTCACAACTACAATACAATCATAGCAGGAGATTTTAACTCTAATATACAAAAAAAAAATCTATCTATATTAATTTCCTACCTCTCGAACTCAAATCTAATAAGCATGCTAGACTTCAATGATATTCATTTCCCTACTTGGCAATCCAACAACTTGACTAGTCAGATTGATGACATATGTATCAGGAAGTTTGAAAAGCATTTGAAAAGTATTAACTAATGCTAGTTATTATTTAACACTAAAAAAAGTAGAGAAACGAACCCTATACAGACTAACAACATTAATAAACAACTTAAAAATGTATTAAACAACACATTTTATTAATTAACGCCATTTAAAACACGTATTACTATGTTAAACAACTTATTTTATTAGATAATGCCATTTTAAAATATGTATTATTATGTTAAGCAAAATATTATTTATTATAATATATATTTTTTAATACATTAAGCAATACATAGCAAAATCTAGAACTAATACTAAATACATGCATATTTCAAATCAAATTACTTAAATCGTTTTTGCAATTTAATAACAAATATAATAAGTATATGAAATACTTGGGGCTTATTCTTCTTCATAATTACCATTGCTATCATAATCGCTTTCATTATCGTTAGCACTATTTGAAGATAATTCATCATAATTGCATTTAAAGATTCTGCTTTTGATATTGCAGGAGAACTTATAAAACCTTTTTGCAAACAAGTATCCTAAAAAATAAATAAATAAATAAATAAAATAAAATGCATTCAAAAAAATTAATAAGATTATTAATAAACAGTTTACATACATTCTCATTATTTGATAGCTTCTGAATCCACGTATCAACATAATCTGCATCGATCTTAGGAGAAACATAATCTTCATTGAATATAGTTTCTAAAACAGCTGTATCCAAACCACATTAGCATTAATATATTTATTATCAGAAACAAAAATATACTTTATGATTAAAGATTGAAATGTCTCATAATTTGAATTATCCAGATCACAAGGTTTGTATAAGTCATTGTACGCCTTTTTAGAATTTTTTTCCATTCTAACATTTGTGCTTTAAAGTCTTTTTCGCTAAACGGTTTTATTTGATTAACACCAAAGGTGCTCCATAAACCTTCTTTTACACGACGAATATAATACCCTTTTTTAAGCTGAATTGCTGCAAGCATCTGTATAAATTAATTAAATAAATAAAATAAATATTTAGTAAAGGAGTAGAAAAGGGAAAAGGAACAAAAAAGAAAGAAAAGAACAGAAAAAATAAAAAAAGAAGAAAAGAATAGAAAAAAAACAAAAAAAAAGAATGAATGAAAAAATAAGAAAATAAAAATAAAAATAAAAATAAAAAAAAAGAATGGGAAGAAAAAGAAAAAGAAAAAAAGCAGAGAAAAAAAAACAAAAAAAAAGAAAAAATAGTAAAGAATTTGCAAGAGTAAACTTGCAATTCTAATAAGTAAAATTTGTACTTCAGAATAAAGTTTTTCACTCCAAAATTTGTTAAACGACACCCCTTTGTCTTTTAATTTTTGTAATTTTTCTGAACATTTTTTATCTTTTTTCAACAATGCCTTAAGCCGATCCTTTATTTGTTTGTCACTAATTTGCTCATAATTATGGAATAAATTACTTGCTAATTTTCGAGCTGTGTTCTATATATAATATGATATACAGTATAATATATAGTAATATGCATAGTGATACGTATAAATAAATATATAACAAACTATTATTATGAATAAATATATATTGGTATACATACTTGAAAACATATATCCTCTGTATTTTTCGAAGGCTTTTTTCTGTTGCCTTTTTTTGGTTCTAATTTATCGGTTTTGTCAAATTTTTTTGAAACCTCTTCAAGCTGTTTTTGTTGTTCTCTAATCAAATATTCAAGCTTGGCGCAGTGTTTAAAAAGCTGATCAAGTTTTGCAGAGTTATCTTGCATGACACTTAGAACCTTGTTCATAATACATGAATCGATGGTAGTTCGAGCTATTAAATAAAAATAAAGTAATAGATTAAAAAAAAAAAAACTAAAAACGCTATTTTACAAACTTGAAATTTCAGAAACAGCAGTCTTTCTAGTAGTAGAAGTAGTTAACAGTGTAAATTCAATAATAACTTGTGGCTAAGTATAAAAAATTATATTAGATAATTTAATAAGTAATAAAATACTAATAATAATAAAATAACTTACTTCATTTAGAATAATAACTTGCGGCTAATTTATAAAAAAGTTGTGAAAAATTATATTAGGTAATTTAATAAGTAATAAAAAATAAAATAACTTACTTCCTTTGGAATATTATCCTTTCTTTTTTTATTTTGTAATACAATAGTTTTTGGTAAAGCTAATATGGATGATGTTGATGCAGACAATGTTGATACTAATGTAGCTGTAGACAATGTTAATATGGATGACAATTCTGAAGCAGATGTGGTCGATAATCTACGTTCTTTAGAACATTGCAAAGTATTAAAGTTTAGAGAGGTATCAGAATTCGTTCTTTTGCCTTTTTTTTTGTACATTGTGTTTCTAATTTAAGCGATTAAAATTATAAAAATAAAAAAAATTTCTTTATTTATAAAAAAAAATCTTTGCTAATATAATTACGCAATAGTATTAAATGTTATAATTGTATAAATTAATGACCAACGAAATAACTGATCTATTAACTGACATATTAACTGATTACCTTAATAATTACATCATTTTATAATAGAGATTTATTAGTCAACTAAAAACTTGAATAAAATTAAGTAAATAATTTAAAAATTTACTTACTATGAATAATTACATATATATAATGATATATAGAAATTCTTATATAGCATTTCTTCGCA